AAATATGTTATATTTAAGTTTTATAAATAAGAGAATAAAATTAAACATTGACAATAATAATCATCTCAATTGACTTTCCATTAAAAATAAGACTATGGAATCTCAAAGTGAAACCATATCACGAGCCTCCATTGGACAAGGAAAATTATTTTGAGAAATTCTTTCACTTTTGTTCTCTTCCCCAAGCATTTCAAGGGTATAACTTGGGTCATGGTCACATTCATCAAATTCTTTATCTTTAATTGCATGCTACGTAATGTAATTATGAGGTGTAATAGTTACAGTTACTATCCTTTTTTATAATTTGAATGAATAATTTTGCACAATGGATAATATTTTAAATCTATTTTTTCAAACCCTAATAGATCATTTGATGACATTTCTAAGATAAACATGAGCATAGTTGAATACTTTTTAATAACCTATTAGTTGGCTTTCACATCTAAAATTACAAATGTGATACCTTTCTCGCTTATAAGATGCCAAATATCCTTTTATATTAGAATAAGTAGCATCAATAAGATAATATTTTCCTAAAATATATGAGAAAATTTATTAATAATAAATAATAAAAATGTGCTTAAAAATTCATTAAAAATGTGCTTTTGTTATTATAATACAAAATAAATGGAAAGTCATTACCATTAGGAGGATGGGGAACACATTTTTATATTTTTCCAATGTGTTACTGAAAATACAGTATCATAACTAGATTTAGGCTAACCTATAACTATAAATGTAAATATCATGTCAAAATTATAAACTACCATAACATTTTTACTGGTGGTGTCTTTTCGACCTCTATATAGTACTTGGTACTTGATCTTTAATTGGGATCATGACTTTAATATACATACCATCAATTGCACCAATACCTCCTTTAAAATGAGGCTGAAACCTACTATTTTCTTGAATATTCTTTCGAGTTTCAATAAAATTTTAATCAAGTGGCTTCATAATATCAACTAAAAACCTTGCTAAATTTTTTACTTATTGTTTCTCCTGAATGTTTAAAATGATTTTACACATTTTGATTAGATTTGTTATGTGCACATATTCAAAAAAACATTGCAAGTGCTTCATCAACACATACTTCTCTTGTTGATGTTAGACCACAATCACTAATCAACAAAGAACATAATCCCTTAAAAACATATGGTTTCATTTTAAATATTCTATAACTCTCACTTGGAGTTGCTAATGTCTTTTGTACCCATTGCCATCCTAAAAGTCTAGAAACTCTTGTTTTTTGTTTATAAAGATACTTCAAAATATATCTTGAAGATATTGAAATACTCAATGAAGTAGGAGAAAAAACACAATATCTTTTTTTGGTCTAGTTTCCTCCTCCCTCTCTCTTTGTTGTATAGCTTCTTCCTCCATCTTATCTTTATCACTATTTTCTTCCTCCATATCACCGGCATCACTATTTTCTTTCTCCCACCTTGAATCTAAATCCATCCCTAAAAAAAAAAGGAAAAATTTGGGGGAAATTTTGTTACCATCAACCAATTCCATTTTTTTTTCCACCAAATTTTTTTGATTAAAAAAAATAAACGGGATTTCCTTTTTTTTTATTGCCTTTAACATAATGAGAAATGAATTTGGAAGAATGATGAAAACTAAATTCATTTGATTCTTAATAGAAAGGAACAAAGCAAAGTAAATGAACTTAAGTGAAGTACAAGAATTGTTGCTGATAAAATGGAACTAATAAATAAGAAGTAGAATGGAGTTTATGCAATGCATCTATACAACTATTTTGGTTTGGAGTGGATTAATTTCAATAGGTGCATGTTTAATGTTGTAGTCAATGAAAGAAATAGGTGTTTGGTTAATAGATCTTAAAAGTTTTGATTTGAATGAAAGTAGTTGGAAATTGGTTGGTTAAATATGTATTTAATTTTTTCTCTTTTAGTTAGTCAAACTTTCTTGAAAGTTGAGAAACCTGTCGATTTTTTGGGAAAGCCTCACTTTCACCTCTTTTCATAACAAGACTGGAGGCTTATCTTGAAAAGTATACTTTCACTTTTTTCTATAAAGGAACAAAACACCTATTAAGATGTATATCTCAACCTTCTATACTAGTAAACCTAATAACAATTTGACTTAATATGAAAAACATTATTCTAAAGAACTGTATTCTATATGCTACAATAAAGATTACCATAGTATTTTAATATGTATGTCTTGAGATTCAAATCAGTGCTGAAATGGCATAGTTTCATAATGTTGTTCCACATTTTATATAGAAATTATATTTCTACATGTCAAATACTAACACTACAAATATCTTAATACTAAAAATTAAACTTTAAAAACTCAAGATCCTAATACTAAAATATTAAAACCACAATATTCATGCTAATTTTGCATCTCAAATCCTAAAAAACATCTTAATACTAAAATCTCAAGATCACACGCAACATCATAGGGTAATATCTCATATCTTAGTGCCTTTTACCACTGGGTTTCTCCCTTTCCAACTCTAGCTTAATTACATTCCATTGTGCCTTTGTCCTTTTATCCTTTGAATCAAAAGTGCTTGCCATCTTATGTATTTGAAATGATTTTGTCCCTTAAATAATATCTGTAAAAACATAAACATGACAATATCAATAACAATAATAATAACAATCTTTACACATACTTAGATTTGAAAATAACAAATCGTCCATTGACATCAAGCCATGCTACTAGGGGTAGGAGCTTTTTCAATCTAATTTGGAATCCAGTGGTTCCAACTAAGGTTAGTGCATTCAATTGGTAGGTAATACAAGTCAAAATCCCAACTAGATTCAACATATTCAGCATTGAATTTTGAATGATTCAACCTACAGACAAATCATATGGCTAATTTTCAACTTTACCATAGTATCAAAATATTTATAGCAATTACAAATTTATAATAAAGTTAATAGTTATAAAAAAGTTAAAATCATAGTTGATACTGGCATATGGCTACTAGCATATAGCTACTAATTGTAAACTAATCGTAGTAATTGAATTTATCAAAAAAATTAATTAGTAATTAACAAAAACAAGTTAAAGGAGGATTAATTTTAATGAAAATAGTTTTTGATAGAAAAAAGAGGAAAATAAAGGAAGCGGTGTCATTTTTTTCTTTGAGAGAGTTTGGGGAAGTGGTTTTTACATTTTACACAAAAGCATCTAGCCGGTTTTATTGAAAAAAAAAAAAGAAAGTGGGGGTTTTCCATGACTTTTCTAAGTTTTCACCTCTCAAGGATCCTTGGCAGCCAATGAAAAAAGAGAAGATAGAAAGCAGAGAAGGTGATCGAGGACTGACAAATTTAAAGGAGATTGAAATTGATGAGTTTCACACTTTTTAAAGTTTAGAATTAAAAGAGAATGGAAGAGATGGCATGCAAATTGATGAATAGGAAGAAAACCAAGAACTTGACAGTGAAATTGATGGATTTAATTCTAATTATCTCAAAGTCTATGTTTAACAAGGCTGAAAACCAACAAATCAATGAAAATGAAGCAAAACTCATGCTTTCTAGAAATCAAAAGAGGAAAAAAAGAAATAGTAATGAACCCATTCAATCTAGAAGGTAAAGTTTGACAAAAGGGAGCTTATGTTGAAGATTGGGAGCTACACCACTCAATCTAGGATGAGGATGTTAGAAAAGTGAGCCTGAATAGAGCAAGATTGGGACCTATGGCTAGAAGAGCCAAAGGGAATATCAATAGATGGAGAAGACACGTAGATGAAAAAATTAGGGTTTTAAGTTATAACTAATAATGTATAGATATTGGTTCAACTATAAATTTATTAAAATATAAGGATAAAATAAGTATAGCAAGCAAATTTCATTAAATGAAGGCAGAAGCACGTGCAAAAGCACCAAATTGATGCTTATTCCATTTTCAAAGGGTAGAAGTTAGGATTAGCTATTCAACAATTAAAGCAATTTTTGCAAGTTTGAGTATTTGGAGGAATTGGTGCTTTTGGACTTTTAAAGCACTTCTAAGAATATACATCAAACATGCACTAAGGAAGAGATTTTTCAAGTTTTGGAACCAAATTAGAGGTACATACAAAAGGTTGAGGAACTAAACAAAGATTTAACCTGTAAGTAACTCTTATACAATTACCATGAATGTATTATTAGAAAAATTGTGATCAATCTGTTTTATGTAAACTACATTGTTTATAACCATTGATGAGGAGCAAGCTCCTTAATATTAAACTAGTCACCCTCCATCAATAATTATAAAATATACAATTCATGCATATATAAACTTTTTTATTCTTACCACGTTAATTTCATAGGAATAGATTACTAAGAAGGACCAAGAAGACATTTAGTCCGGTAGGAGTAGAGGTTGAGATTTGACTGGTAAAATTTTTCATGAAAAAGAAAGGTACAAACACAAAAAGGGTATGGAACTGAATGAAAGAATTACATATTGTTTAACATTGAACATTCAATAATCATACACCTGTGGAAAAATCTCAATCCTCCTTAAATAAACTCTTAAATTTGAGTTTTGTATACGAAAAAATAAGTATTAAGAAAACTTTTTTTTTACAGGATCTAACACAACTCAACTCTGGATTAATTAAAATCTAATGTGACTTTCAAATATCGACTGGTTAGTATAAAAATAATAATAATAATAATAATAATCATACACATCTAATAAGTAATTAACCCGAAACCCCCTTACAAGAAGATACTCTTGGAGAGAAGTGGTGTATACAAGGATGCTTACTTTGTACTTTTTTTTTATTTAAAAATATTAATTTTATTAGTTTTTAAATAATAATATCAACTTTTAACTTTTTTTTTTTCAATTTAAAAATGTTAATTGTTTACCTTTTTTTAATTTAAAAATACAAACTTTTAACTTCTTTATTTAAAGATTAATTAAATGATGATACTGACATATTAAATGAACTTTTTAATTAGAATGTTAAAAGTTGATATTTTTAAATAGAAAAAGTTAAAAATTAATATTTTTTAATAAAAAAATTAAAAATTAATATTTTATTTGAAAACTAATAAAGTTAACATTCTTAAATAAATAAAAAAAAATACAATATTGTTATCCTTGTAAAGAATGGAACGGGTTTTACAATCAATATGAGAATAAGAAAAAGAATCATGATAAATGGAATAATACCGTCTTTCCCAACAGAAGTTCTTTACCAGAAATCATACTGCAAGAGGGATTAGACGTTGATGTCTGCACGCTTCGATCCGGTGGTCGTGTTCACCTCTTGAGAACTACTCAACGAGAATCTTGGGGGGCTATAATTCTCTGGCACTGAAACTGGCTGCTGCGGGTATAGCGTGGGAGGTGGAGTAAGATTTCGCTGTGCTGGAAGGGGAGGGAGCGCATTGTACTTGTATGGATCGCTGCCATGCAAACTGCAAATGAGAAAAGAGAAGGAAACATGCGTTCAAAGTTCAAAAATGGACTAAAAATTATGCGTGAGAGAAGAAATGATAACAAACGAAATTAAGCAGAAAATTTAGAAGCAAACCTTGTATTCTTATAGAACTGATCTTCATCAATCAAATTTTCATCTAAGCGAGATACAGGCCTCTGAACAGGAGTAGACCATGGATTTGATGCTGGTAACTCATCAGAAAAATATCTTCTCCTAATCAGCTGAAATAGTTTCAGTGAAAGTTGAATGACTTCAGTGTCCACAAAAAAAGAAGAGAAAAGAAGAGTAGAAGGGGGATGAAACCCCATTAGAACAGACAAAGAGGACATTGATACAAACCATACGGAAAAATTTCATTACAGCTTCCTTGTCATATCTTGCTTCCTTGGCAGCCTGTAAGAGTCCAGCCCAGTGTTAATGCAAATAATATTAACAATGCAAACATGAGATGGAGCACCATATAACAGACTCCTAGAACATAAACAAAACAACTAAAAGGTTGAATGGGAATCATAAGAAAAAGCAATTAATCAAGCTCAACAGGCTGAGGAAGGATGTAGCAGAAGAGCCAGCACATAAAGGTATTTAACTACCAAATTCAATTTATTATTTTGTGGGGTCCATTTCTAATGTACGTAAGACTGTTCAAAAGGCTTAAGAAGAGCTAACAATCAGTCACGTCTTTAAAGACCATGTAGCCAAAATTAATACACACAATCTTACTCTACCTAACATTAAACCAAGTCAACAAGGATAACAACACTTACTGCAATAAGGCCTCCATTCCCAGGAAAACTCTCGCTTAGTGGAATCTCCTCACTGGATGGAAGCAAACCCTGCTTCTCAACCCACTGACGAGCTGCATCAACAAGATTGCCACTGCTGCTTCGTGTACCCTCTTTTGCAGCAACATCAGCTTTGTTACCAATAACAATATATGGGACAGGAAGACCACTGGGTCCACCATTACCTAGTGGAGCTGAAAACGTCCCAGTTGCTGCAATCTCAGAAGCCCACTTTTGTAAACTTGTCTTTGTTCTCCTCTGAGATAGATCATGAACAAAAATAACACCTGCAGAGATCAAGGTAGAATCACAAGAAGAAACAGACTGGACAGCGTGCAATTACAAAGTCCATGCTGAGAAGAGTAAGAAGTTTTCCAAATGGATGACGATTAATCATTACCACATGGTAGTAATCACTTTATGTTCATTCTTAAATTTTAAGTTCAAGAGAGGGAAACAAAATTATACTTAAATGCAAGTAATCATTTCTGTCTTTAACATATTTGTCCGCAAGCACTTGGCAACATTCTACAAAAGGAAAGCAAAAGACTACTATACATCCTCTTGTTACTTCTACTCCACTTATGCATGAACTAGGTTGCAGAAATAAACATTGAAAGGATAACCACTGCCTTCCCTGCAGTGTAAAAGGCTAAAATGTTACCAACATGGCAAAGCTGGACTAGATTGATCACTACATAGTTGTGAATTTAATGCAGAGACTTGATGTCAGATGTATCAAGGCACTTGCCAGGATGATCTCAACCAAGACAGTTCTTGTTTTCAACCATTATTTACAATCATAGGCTCACTATAGAACAAATACCAAATAGAACACAGATGCAGCAAGAAATCAAATTTCTTTTAAAGAAGATGCATGGATTTCTAGATCAAATGATTTGGTATCAACGATATTTTTTATTATTCATCATGAAACACAAGGAATTCCTAGAAGCAAAGAGATGTATTACTCACCATTTATCTGCGAATAGAAGAGAGACCGGCAATCTTTATATCTCTCATGCCCTGACACATCCCAGAGCTCAATAAAGAAGTCCCTTTCAGCATCACCTTTAAGGCTGCTTGAAGAGCTACTAGGACTACCATATGTAGTGTACTGGATAGAGACAGAAGCAACTACTTGCTGAAGATTTTAACCACAGTAATGGCTTTGAGCCTTTTTAATGTACAAAGGGAATATCTAGCCTTACCTTTACAGCAACTGTACATCCAATTGTTTGTGGAGGACGAGCAACAGAAGAACCTTTGACTATCAGATTAACGAGAGAAGTTTTTCCCACACCTTGAAAAAGGATAAAAATTTTAAGTTAAAGTTTGACATCTAATGAAAGTTAAGAGCTATGGTGAAGTAGATTTGGAGGGCAAATGATGGGGAGAGAGGGTTTGCATTGTTAAGAGCATAACAGCATACAGATCAGAAAAAAAGCAGATGAAGATTCCAAATAGTTGTGCCTAAAGTAATCAAGCTATTGAAAACTAAGCATATCAAGTTCAACAGAAGTACGATAGGAAGATCAAATGAACTAATATTTCAAAAAGACTTCAATCCTCAATCGTCTCCTGAAAACACCATATGCACAGTGAAGAGGAACAACCATTAAGTTTCCTCATGCTGATATGACTACTGCCAATTTATCATATAAACTTGAAAAAATTTTCCTTAAAGTTAATTGATAGTATGTGAATTTATGAACTCTTTATCAAAACTTATAATTTTATTTAACCACAACAGTCAAATATAGCAAATAACTTATATATCCAATTACAATTTGTTCCAAAACTAAAGGCCGCAAGGCCCACCATACAGCATAAAACTTTAAAAACAACAAACTCCAAAAGATGGTATTAAAATTTTGAACCTCATACTCCTTGCTTTCACTTTTTTTATGCACTTTCTCCTCCTCCTTTTTACCCTATAACTGCGATATTTAAGAAAATTCCGCAACAGATTGAGAAAGTCTTTCCTTCTTTCATTTTTTTTTTTTACCATCCAATGGTTCCAGCAACCATTGCTGCCAACATTTTAGCTGATCAAGGGGCTGATGAGCAGATCAGTCGTGACTACATGGAGGCTAGATAATTTGAATTTGTAAAAGTGAGATGGAAAGATAAATAAATCAGCAAGGTGCACATTATGGATTGAAGGTTGTGATAAGTTTGTGTTTTGTAATTCCAACAGAAAAGCAATCCAAATGCTTCAGGTTTCTACTTCATGAAGTTTTACAATCCCATTTCTTTATCCCATCCTTTCAAACAAGTCTGAAACACATGGTGATCAATCCAATAGTCCATACCTATAGCATTTCTCATTTGAGCATGTAATGTTCTGACCACCCATTAAAGTAGATCTCAAATTTTATGGATAGCAGAATTCGTCAACCTAAACAATCTCAATAAGCAACAACTAAACTCATAGTCTTGTATCAAGGTGGAGAGCAAATTCAATCTGAAAGTGATTTAAATATCATAATCCACATTTTAGCCATACCTTCCTAAGTAAATCTAACATGAACTCATTAGGCACCCAAACAGAACTATAAACATAAAAGCACACAACATGAAGCAAACAATACTATAAAAAGATTCGTGGAAAAAAGAAGATGCATTAAAGCTGCATAAGAAGAGAAAGATAAAGAAATCCAATACCTGAGTCACCAACAACAAGAACTCGAACCTGCCCACAAAGCGGTCCACCATTCTGTTCTTTGTTCTCCCTCTCACGTTCCCTCCAAAACATGTTTCTTCAACCCAAAATCAAGTCCAACTATAAGCAAAACCAACTATCAAACTCACTTCCTCATAAACCGAGAATCAAGTCTCATCAAGCGCACACAAATTTAACGCAGAACAACAATTTCCGCAAATGCGTACCCCAAATTTCCATCCAAGATCCATGCTACATCGAAACCCCAGCAAGATCTATCTCCGAAAACAAACATGCAGAACCAGACATTTGAAAATAGAATCAATACCACCCCACAAAAAAATCCTGCAAACCCATTGGATCTAAGAATAAATCTCGAAAAGGGTTATCTCCAAAAAGCCAATAAAAGAAAACCCAATGAGAGGAATTAGCCAAATTTGCTTCAGAGCTAAGTTGCTGAGTTAGCAGGATCTCAAGTAAGGAAACCAAAACAGATGTGAATCTCCTCAACTCAAAAGTGGTTCGTATTTAATACTTCAAAATCAATATTTTAGTAGGGTTTACCCAGAGATTAGCAGAAAGGAATTGAATCTGGCAAGACTAGAAAAATGAAACGCAAAAAATTGTTCTGGATCGATTGGGTGGGATTCTAAAATTAGGCGCTGCTGGCAGTATGGCGATGTGAAGGGAAAGTAATCAGCGATGGGAAGGAACGCTATTTCTTGGAGGGATGATTGCATGGTAATGGTAGATTGTATATTAAGCTCCAAACTTATAATGTTTTGATTTTTAAGCCCCTTCACTAATAAATGTGATATTTAAGCCTACGGCACGGAAAAATACATCGATCAGTTAATGCCAGAGAAATTAATTTCACTATTACAAAATATATAACTATAATGTTACATAATGTCATAAATTTATAATAATAATTAAATATTAAATAAATTTATATATATAATATTATAGTTATATATATATTTTTTAATTATATAATGAGATAATTTTCTTGCATTCATCAAAATGATTAACTTCTTAATTTAAAGTTATTTATTTTTTGATGTGAAATCGAATCCATAGAAAAAAAGAAGAAAAATAAAATAACTCAATAATTAATTATCAAAAAGTAGCTATCAACGTATCTTTTATGTATAAACAAATAAATATTTTTTT